GAGACCCCGGAGGCTGGGTCTAGGTCACTGGCTCTGTCTAGAATTAACAACCCCCTTGGGAAATTATACCGGCAGGTTGAGAACAGGCCAACGCCCTGCTCTCCCCTGCACCACCACCACAACCAGAAAGTCCCAGGAAAAAACGACTATGAGGAGGAACCCAAAAACTTACCCAGAATTAATTTATAACAAATTGTGTATTTATTCACATATTTAAAACTCCATCATCTTCAAAGTACTCTCTTTTTGATGCAGTATACCTACTGAGCTTATCCATTTTGATGCCTTATAATGCTTCTACCATTTTTTTGTTTCACTTCTTCCTTATTGGCAAAACTTTTCCCCTTGAGGACTTTTTATCCAGGGAAACAAACAAAAAAAGTCACTCAGAGAGAGATCAGGTGAATAGGGAGGGTAGAGGAAGGGGGTCATGTCATTTTTGGTCAAAAACTGCTGAACACTCTGTGAGGTGTGGGCAAGAGTGCTCCTAAATCACCCATCATGAAATGAGCAAACTGGTTGAAAGAGTCTTCAAAGAAAACTCAGTGAAGCCAAATGCAACCTCTCACAACAATGCCAGCAGGTACAGATGGGTTCCTAGAACACTCACCTAGCGGGAGAAGCCTATGCTACAAGGAGCCTGCCCTCTAGAAGATAATTCATGGTTCATTTTTCTGAGGGGGGTGCCTCCCTCATATATGTATCCTCCACCTGGACCAGCTTCCACACCCTCCCCTCACCAAGGGATCCATGACCAAAAAGCCATTATTAGCTCTTTCTGATCCATTTAACTACACAAATGGCTTGGTCACAGCTGACTGCTCCTAAGTTTGCCAGTTATTTTCTTTTAATTTACCATGGCTCAGTCCCCCTGTAATACAGGTAGAGGAGGCATATTTGTTCCCAAACTCCCCTCCTGGGGCTGATCATGCACAGAACAAAACATCACAGCCACTTAATTTCATTTCCTCCCTGGGTTTTGGAGGAGCTGTGGCTATAAGACTGATGTGAGTCCCTCTCTCCCCAAAGTCCATGTCTGTGAGAGGCAGGTGGAACTTACACTCTCCCTGTTACCTCCCAGTCAGAGTGGGAGAACTGAAGGCCTTCGCTTTCTGAGCAAATGGGCCCCCCTCTCCTGCAAGCACCTGAAGCTGGACCCCTGTGCACATCTTCTCTCCCCTAAGACTTACTTTCCTGGCCAGTGATTCAGGCTCAGCTTCTTCTTTGCTCTGGGCCTTCCAGCCAGGTTTCATGGGGCTATTTTGTACCCATCTGTAGGACCCCCACCTGTGCACCTCTCACTCTCTTTTGCCCATTCTCCCCACCATACACCCTGTATTCCAAATATGAAGGGCCAGGCCCAGTTCCCCCAACATCCTCATGCCTTCCCACGTGGGTTTCCCCTTCCCTGGAAGATCCCTCTTGTCTTGCCAGAGCCTGGTGAAGCCTTTGCTTCAATGTCACCTCTGCTGGGAAGTCAGCCTGCCTTCTCTCAAGCAGAGAAAGTCACCCCCACCCCATTCTGTTAGTTTCCACACCACACTGCATTATTTGTTTGCCTGCCAGCCCCTCCATCACCTGGGCTCCTTGAGGATATGGCAAGACACACCTGGGTAGCCCTGTGAGCTAGCACATTGCTGAGTGCAAATGCTCACTAAGTTTCATTTGAATGAATAGCTCAGTTCATGTACATGCATGCGAACTGTGTCCACCATTAATCTAAGATACTCAAAGGCCTTTCATTTGTTTAGGCTTCTCAACTGGTGCCTAAATCTGCTGCACACCCAGAATCAGACTCAGTGGAGACATCGGCCTCGGGGAAATCTTTTTTGCATGGACATAGTGCCATCTGGTGGTGTCTCACAAAACAGCTTCTGAATTGGGAGAGTGGAGAGCAGAGCTTTGTCCTTGCTAAGTTGTGAAGAGGCCTGCCTGCTTGCCTCCTGTCTACCCCGCTCCTGCTGAGGTTTGTGTTGCAGTGGAACCCCCAAAAGGCTCTTCTGTGCCACCAGGCCTTTCATGGGCCACCTGGACTCCTGCCTGCCAGCCCAGTTCCGTCTGTCCCCTCACCTGCTTGACACACCCATTGGGTCACAAGGAGAAAGCTGAGCCCTGGCCAGTGTTGCTCAGTTGGTTTGGAGTCATCCCGCAAAGCTTTTTGGTCACTGGTTCAATTCCCGGTCATGGCACATGTCTGGGTTGCAGGCTGGGTGCCTGGTCAGGCACACGCAGAAGGCAACCAGTTGACATCTCTTCCTTGCATCAATGTTCCCCTGCCTCTCTCCCTTCCTTTCCCTTTCTAAAAAATAAAATAAAATAAATTTTTTAAAAAGAAAAAAGCTGAACACACTGAAAACCAACAACTCTTTCTAGAGCCATTGGAGTACTGAGCTCGAAGGACAAACCGCTGACCTGAATTCTGGAGAGACAGCCAGTGCATAGAGTCATGTCCTACCAGAGCAAAAGCCCAGGTGCAGAAACCTCCAGAAACCCAGTTAAACTGGTTGACGAGAAGCTGGAGAGTTAAGTCGGGGACAGTCTAATGAAGCCCCCACACCCCCTTTTACCCGCAGGAGCCTCACCAGGTTCACACAGTGAAGATCAGGGAAAAACCCTCCTGCCCCACCCCCACTTCCATCCAGCAGGAGGAGAGAAAATAACCATTTGGAATTATGTCCAGAGGGTTCTGTGCTCCTTAACAAAGGTTGTCCTCAAGGGAAACTCTTCCCAGAGCCCACACAGCTGGGGGAAGAAAACTATCCAACTCCAGGATCCGTGGACGTCCTGTCTCTCCCTAGAGGGGAGCGGAGGCAGGAGGAAAAGCACCGTGAAGGGCACAGGCTCACGGACAGACCGAGACCCAAGTGTCTGAGGGCATCGGACACTCCCGTCATCATACCTCCCTGCCGCTGCAGCAGAGCTCCTGCGCGATGACACCGGGTTACAGCTGCAAGGACGGAAAAGCTCAGGTCCTGTTGAAGGAGGTCTCTAGGGGGTACCCAAAGACAATGGGGGAGACAATGGGGGAGACAAACCCAGGGAGGCCACAGGCCGTTCCAACCTCTGAAACCTCAGCTGCTGGAAAGAATAAACACAGCCGGACCCCCAAGCAGAGAAAGAGAAAGGCCTGCTACCTCAGTTCCTTCACCTCATACTGCATAGCTGGCTTTCAGCAAAAAGTCCACGGGGAATGATGACAGTAAAAAATGTAATCTGAAGAGATGCAACAAGCATCAGAAACCAGAGTGTTATGGCAGAGATGTTTGAATTATCAGACTTGGAATGTAAAACAAGCATAGTTAATATTCTGAGGGGTCTGATGGAAAAAGTGGACAATAGCGAGAACAGATGGGCAATGTAAGCAAAGAGAAGGAAACTCTAAGAAAAATTCAAACAGAAGTGCAAGAAATAATAAGCGCTGTACTAGAAATGAGAAATGCCTTTGGCCCTGGCTGGTGTGACTCAGTGGATTGAGCACTGGCCTGCAAACCAAAGGGCCACTGGTTCGATTTCCATTTAGGGCACATGCCTCAGTTGCAGGCCAGCTCCCCAGTGTGGGGTGTCTGAGAGGCAACCACACATGTTTCATTCATGATGTTTCTCTCCCTCTCTTTCTCCCTCCCTTCCCCTCTCTAAAAATAAATAAAATCTTTAAAAAAATGCCTTTGATGGGTTCATCTGTAAATTAGACCATGGCCAAGGAAAGAATGAGTGTGTTACAAGAAATGTTCATTGAAATTTTCCAAACTGAAAAGCGAAGAGAAAAAAAAAGCATAGAAAAAGTGGAACAGAATATTGAAGAACAGGGGCAATTACAAAAGGTGTAACAAAGGCATAATGGGGACACTGGAAAAAGAAAAATGAAGGGAAAGGGAAAATATTTAAAGGAATAGTTGAGAACTCCCCAAAACTAATGACAGACCCCAAACAATCGGTCCAGAAAGCTCAGAACATGCAATAGGGTAAATACTGAAACATTCACACTCGGGCATGTTGTACGTAAACTGCAGAAAATCAAAGACAAAGAAAAAAATTTGAAGGGGGGGCGGGGCGGGGACTTACCCAGAGGAGAGTAAAGATGAAAATTATATTCAACTCCCCTTGAGAAACCATGCAAGCAAGGAGAGAGTGGAGCAAGTAGTGAAAGTGTTAAAAGGAAAAAAAAAAGCACCTAAAACTTTATATCCTTCAAAATTGTCCTCCAAAGTGAAGGAGACATACTCTCTCAGACAGAAAAAAAATCAAAGGAAATTGTCACCAGTAGCTTTGACTTGCAGGAAATATTAAAAGTGCTTCAGAGAGGAGAAAGGGTATAGGTCAGAAACTTCAATTTTCATTTAAAAAAGAAGAATGAGAGCAAGAGAAGGAAAAAATAAAGACAAAATAAACATTTGAGAGAAACCAACAAACCACGCTCCCCTTAGGAAATCCTTCCACCTCAGCCCACCCCAGTTCTCACTAGCGCCCCTCCTCCAGGACACACCCAGCACAGTGGACACCACTAAGGTGGCCTGTACTCTGTCTCACCCAGAGTGGAAAGCTCTGCGTCCCCAGAGGCAAGCCACGAGGTGCTCGGCGTCTGATAAATGCATGGTGAATGGGTGAGTGGGTGGGTGAGTGGGTGAGTGAGTGGGTGGGTGAGTGGGTGGGTAGGTGAGTGGGTGGGTGAATGGGTGAGTGGGTGGGTGAATGGGTGAGTGGGTAAGTGAGTGAGTGGGTGAGTGAGTAGGTGAATGGGTGAGTGGGTAAGTGAGTGAGTGGGTGAGTGAGTGGGTGGGTGAGTGAGTAGGTGAATGGGTGAGTGGGTGAGTGAGTGGGTGGGTGAGTGAGTAGGTGAATGGGTGAGTGGGTAAGTGAGTGAGTGGGTGAGTGAATGGCAAAGCACTCACACCAGAGGCCGAGAGGGTGGTTAAATAGCGTGTCTCTTTATTCGCAGCTCACTGAGACTATTCCAGGGCTGCCACTGTCACAGGAAGGGCTCACCCACAGGATCCTCTCTGCCCAGGTGTGGTCACTCCCCAGGTCAAAGAGGAGGTGATCATTCTTCTTACATAGGCTGCTCCTTTACCGTGAAGGACATAACCTGGGAAGCAGAGAAATGGCCACAAGTGCATCGGAGATGTGGGAGGACAAGGGGCAGCATTGGCACTGGCTGCTCCTCACAGACCTGGGTACCAGGAGCAGAGAAACCCCCAGAAGGAGCAGGTGCGGGCAGGTCAGACAGAGCTGGGATGGAAGCCTGGCTGCTTCAAACTTCGGGAGCCCCTGCAAGCCACTCAGACTCTTCATCTCAGTTAGTGTTAGCCAACCACTGGCAGGGTGTTGAGCAAAGGCTGGGTGCAGCTGTCAAGGCAACTTTCTGAGTGAAACTGAGGCACAAAGGCAACAAGCAACTCCCCTTGGTGGGGCCGGCCTGGAGCCCGGCATCTGTGCCCGAGGCTTGGCTTCCCCTCTGCCGTCGGCATGGCAGGCACAAGTGATGCTCTCCTGGTAGGGTTGCTTTGAATCAGATAAGGAGTCCTGACAAAGTGCATGTGCAGAGGCTGGCACACCATAGGTGCTGAGCAAATGCACATTACATTTCCATGGTCCTCCATTAAGCTTGCCGGGGGTCAGCTCTGCCCGAATTGCTCCTTCATCTCCTCGCCCCCAGCACCCTGACAGCCCACACAGTCTTTCCTTCCCAGGAGGGGTGCAGTGACCTTCCAGAGCCCCAGAAACACCCAAGGCACTGTTAGGACCATGACCACCAAGTGCAGCCGAGAGGGCACATGACCCGAGCCATGGCCTACTCAGTGGTAGGGCCAAAACCTATGCTCCCTCGCCCCACTCCAGTGCCCTGTGAGCTTATGGTTCAAAATGGGGTCAGCAGACCAGCTGCGGCCTTCCCTGCAAGCATCAGGAAGGCAGAGCACCAGGTCCCACCACAGTCTGACCCCAGATTTCAGTGATCCCCGGGGCCTGTGCACAGGCGAGCAGCACTGGTCTGTGACACCACAGTGAAAAGAGTCAGAGGCCCATCTGAACTTGACTTTACATCCTTTAAGAGAGGTGGTGCAGGAACCTGGGGCACCTGCCTCCTCCCCAACTTGCACCAGCCCCAAGTGCAGGCCCTCCCACTAGAGAAAAGCCAAACCTGATGATCAAGTGCCCACACCAGAGCCCTGTCCCTGCCCAGCACAGCCATCTTCTCTGCCCAGTCCTCACCTGCCAGCTCTCCCACCTGCTCCCCTCAGCAGTCCGAGAAGGAATTTCTGCCGTGAAGCTCCTGAGAAGACTCATTGGCCAGACGGGTTAAGCTGCAGGGCACAATGGGGAGGGGCTGGGCAGAGCGGAGATTGCAAGTTGACCGAACCCACCCAGGGAACATACCCAGACCACGGCCCAGATGGGGTGGGGCAGGCAGCCCACGCCTGGGCCATCAGCCTATCTAGACCTAGGAGCAGAGTCATGCAGAGAGGCACTCAGGCCAGGGGAGCTCCAGGCTTGGCCAGACCTGGGCTTGAGCTAAATGAAGTTAAGGGAAACCATCAGAAGCAAGGCCAGCAGCCACCCCACCCCACCAGTTCCCGGTTAGAAGTACAAATCAACTTGTCCCAGCAGCTTACCTTTGTCTCACCTGCTCTATTCGTTCACGCATGACATCATTTCTCACCTCACTTGGCACTTGGAAGATACGGGTATGGCTGCAAAACACCATGCAAACCCTGGGATTTTTGAGTTTCTTTTTCACTAGACATCGTGAAACTGCTAGGGTTGCAATCATGTGAATGATTAGTTTCAACCCCATTGCCATGAACTTTTGAGCTGGTCCTTCATGCTTCTAGTACCAGGAACTCAAAAGGTTCTTTTTAGGACTTCCGCCAAGATGGAAGCGTAGGTGGACCCACCTTGCTTCCGTGCACAACCAAATCTAAGAACAACTATTTTTAACAACGATAAACACAATCAGACCACACAGAAAATTGACAATATGGAGTCCGAAAAAAAAGGACGAAATGCTCAGCTAAACAGGTAAGCCAGCAGCGAAGCCGGTTGACCAAAAAGATCCCTGACCTGGTGGCACGCAAGCAGCCAAAGGCGTGGATCTCGGGCTAGCTATGGGCGCACACAGGGAAGAGGTGCGGCTGGCTGTCTGGGGTAGGTCACGCATTTGCGTGCAGATAAACCAGTGAAGAGGCGAGCACTGAGACCGCATGGTGCAGGGCAGCAGGCTCGCACAATTCTGCTTGGATAAACAGGCCTGGGCGAGTGGTGGGACGCGACAGACTGGGCTAGTGGAGAGGACCGCCATTGCTCCCTCTCTGACCCCACCCCCACACACAGCGTCAGAAACCAGCGGCCTGGGTGGCCCCGCCCTCGTAAACAACTAAGCCTTCACCCCTCTTACTTACCGGCACAAACAGACCAAAAATGGCTCAAGAACAACTCAGAGCCCCAGAGCCAATAAATCTAAGCGATGAGGAAATAGCTAAACTTTCAGATGCACAGTTCAAAACACTGGTTATCAGGATCCTCACAGAGCTGGTTGATTTTAGTCACAAATTAGAGAAACATATGAAAGCTAAACTAATTGAAATGAATGGTAATGCAAAGGATACCAATAGTAATGGAAAGGAGTCTGGGACTCAAATCAATGGAGTGGACCAGAAGAAAGCAAATATTGGCCAAACAGAAAAGAATGAAGAAACAAGAATTCAAAAAAATGAGGAGAGGCTTAGGAACCTCCAGGACATCTTTAAACGCTCCAACATTCGAATTATAGGGGTACCAGAAGGGGAAGAAGAACAGTCACGAGTGGAAACCTTATTTGAACAAATAATAAAAGAGAACTTCCCCATTCTGGCAGAGGAAATAGACTTCCAGGAAATCCAGGAAGCTCAGAGAGTCCCAAACAAGTTGGACCCAAGAAGAAACACACCGAGGCACATCATCATTACATTAGCCAAGATTAAAATGAAGGAGAAAATCCTAGAAGCAGCAAGAGATAAGGGGACAGTCACCTACAAAGGAGTTCCCATCAGATTGTCAGAGGATTTCTCAAAAGAGACCTTACAGGCAAGAAGGGGCTGGAAAGAGGTATTCCAAGTCATGAAAACCAAAGACCTACAACCAAGATTGCTCTATTCAGCAAAGCTTTCATTTAGAATGGAAGGACAGATAAAGTGCTTCTCAGATAAGGTCAAATTCAAGGAGTTCATCATCACCAAGCCCTTATTATATGAAATGTTAAAGGGACTTATCTAAGAAAAAGAAGATAAAAAAGTTGAACAGTGAAAGGACTCACAGTTATTAACAACCACACCTAAAACAAAAGCAAATTAAGAGGACAGCTAGATCAGGAGTGAAACCATAGAAATGAAGATCTCAAGGAGGATTAGCAACAGGGGAGTGGGAGAAGGAGAAGGGGGGAAAAGGTGCAGAAAATAAGTAGCATAGACAGTAGATAGAAAATAGATAGGGGGAGGGTAAGAATAGTAGGGGAAATACAGAATCTAAAGAACTTGAGACACGTGTTCATGAACTAAAGGGGGGAATGGGGGAGGGGTATGCAGGGTGGAGGGGGGGGAATAGAACAAATGTAATGGCATAATCAATAAAAAAGTTAAAATTAAAAAAAGGTTCTTTTTATTAACCAAGTACTCCTGCCATCAGATAATCTTGGGAGCTTGCAAACGGTTCTGAGGGATGCTAAGGAAACAGTCAAGTGCCTTTACTAGAATTAGATAGCAGGCCAGTGGTCTTGGAAGACATGGAATCCACCCCTTCTGAATTCCTCTCTAACCTCATTATCAGCTTTTGATGATCAGTATTGTGCCATATTCACTGTGGTTTAAAGATACTTCCAGAAAATTGTCACAAAGAATCTGCAAGCATCTCATTGCTACTGTTGTTTTTCTCTCACCCTGATGCTTTGCCTTCCTCTCAATGTTCCCCTTCCCATCCTTCCCAAGTCCATGCTGCATCCTTCCTTCACAAACCCTCCAGTCTAGTGAAATCAGCCTGCCTGCTGCCCCCCTGCCCTGTGCCTTTTGAACCCGCCTTGTCTGGACAGCACCATGTCATAGGTGTGCGCTTTGTAGCCTTGGATGTGAAGACAGAACTGACGCTGTCTAAGTACTCGCAGGCTGCTGGAAGTAGGTGTGCTCACAGATAGTGCTCATACCCTCAGGAGCTGGGTCAACACCTCAGAGAGAGGGAGCAGAGATGAGGCAGTTCCAGAGGAGAGAGATTACCCCAGCAGAGGGGGGAAGGGAGAGGCCCCTGAGAAGGGGCTACAGCACAGGGCCCTGGAGGCCAGACCAAATTAACTGAGTTATCAAGACTCTTGCATCTGGGGGAAGCCCACCCCAGCTTCTGTTTACCTGAGCCCTGCCGAGTTCATCAGTCAGTCCATGCAAATGTCCCTCTGGAAACCTTCTCTGAGTGCCTGGCCTCCACACCTAGGACTGGTGGGACCCAGTTCCCCCACACTGTGCTCTTGCAGGTATTCCTCAGGCCTTCTCATTCTTTAACATTCACACACCTTATCCATCTCTTTCATTTCTTTGAGACTAGAGACTTTATTCTTCTCTCTCTTTTCCAGAGAGCCTAGCAAACACCCGGTGGGCAGCAGATATCAACAAATAAATAGGTATCCACTGATGCTTCATAAGGGCTGTGTATTCCCCGACTACACACTTACTGACGCTAACAGGTGGGTTGTAGGGGGAACCTACAGGGTTTAGTGGTTTAAAATCTCCATAGAAATCCAGAGTGGAAACATTATACATAGATGATTGACTGCGATTCCTATAGCATATCTTTAAAGCTTTAACCTAGCTGTGTCCCACAGCTAAGGTTTCAAAACATGGTGGAAGACGATGTTCGCATTACCCAAACCAAGGAGCTGCCACCTCAAGAGCTCCCTGGTGCAGCCACATCAAGCGCAGACCAGCTTCCCACCTGCAAGGCTGGGGCCGGGTTACAGTCACCAATTATGGTTCTAGGGGCTGATGGACGGTTTTCCATCCAAAGAAAAACCTTCCCCATGGAGGTCTGAACTTCCCCTCCTTTCACATAATCACTGAGTAGTTGAATCCCCATCTAAAATGCTAATGCCACTAGAAGGGGTAAGCACCTGAAAATTGAATATCCTGAAGCAAAAATAAATTTCTCGAGAAATATATCCCCCTTGAAGAAGAGAAAGCAAATCTGACGATGGGAGTATGAGAAAGAAGAGCCTGCAGCATGAGAGCGAGCTCCTTCACAGTTTAATCCCACTGTTCTATTGGGGAAAAGAGACCGCAAGTGAGCTCAAATCCCAGCAAGGAAATAGGGACACTTACACCAGGGGAATGAGCTGGTGCCCAAGCCCAGCTCCCTGGGCCTGGCATGAGCAACTTCAGCACCAGTGTGGGGACCGTTGGTGCTCTGCAGACCCCGTGGGAGGCTGGCAAATTATGAGGCTCCCAGAAAGCGGAGCACGTAATTCTAGCCTCAGCAGTGAGGCACCTCCTCTCCCCTCAGCTGCAGATGAGGGCTTTGGCTTCTGCATTTTAAGAGCTTATTTTCTTTAAGCTCTTTAAAGTGCAGTCACTTCTGAACAAATCAACTGCAAAAATAACAGAAGTCTGAAATTTATTCAGAAGCATTTAGGAAACGGTGAGTAATCTCAGTTTTCCAACCCCTAAAGTAATTTACATTCTTAGGAATGAGCTGGGCTTTCAAGATAGCCAACATATTCAACATATTCCCTTAAGATCCAAGGGATCTTAAGGCTGCAAATGCTCTCAGCAAAAGGCTGTTCTCTCGAGAATAATGGCTGTGGGTCTGTGCTGGCCAGAGAGCTGAGGAGGCAGGCTTGGGGCCTTCTTTGCCGCTCCCTCCCCACAATTTGGCTCAAAGCAAATGAGATTTGCTTTACCTCCACCTTATGAACTGGATCCTTGTTCTTTCCTCCAGGACATCTTGACTCTGGTTTGCTAACAAATCAGACTTTGATGGATGGTGCTTCACCTAGGAAATTCCAGCAGAGTCCTCGAAATTACTGCCCAACAAGAACTCCTTGGCTCAGGCGGAGCCCACCTCCTCCCACTTGCCCAAGATCCTTTGCAGTAGGACCTCCCACCTTCCCCCTCCCTCTCCCCCCACCCTCCCAGGAGGGTTGTCTCAAACTCTCCATTACCACATCTCTGGTAACATGGACATTTTCCCCATGGTTGGGAGGGAAGTTGTTGGACATCTTCTGCTTTATGTCCTGCGAAGCCTCTTCTTCAGTCTGAAAGGGAAGTAATTCCTTCTGAAAATGTCACTCGGTACCTGACCCCCAGTTCTTTCTCTTTTTCCCTTTTTTCCTCTCCATCACAACATATATGCCACATATCCACACATACAAACTCTGTATCTCATGGTTCCTGCAATAAACCCGCCTATTGCTATCTCCCCATGGGACTCCAGGGCTCCCACTAAGGCCTTAGCCTTATCCCAGGGTGTTCTGGAGCCACCCTGTAGCTGGGGCAACATAGCTGAAACTCGGCATGTTTAAGAAGCAGGGCAGGGCCAGTAGTCATTCCAACACATCTCTGATAAAGACACTAGCCGCAGCATCTTGTGAATCAGACACAGCTCTAGGCGGAGTGTTTGGCAATGAACTTGAGTTTCCCATTCTAAGGAGAGGGAAGTCCCAATTCCTGCACCTGCTGAGATCAGCTCTCTAAAATTTTGGGTGCCATGAAAAATAAAGGAATTTTACTCACTTTTTTCAACCAGTGCTGTACTACAGACACAGCCTCACTTTCCACAACTTCAATGTCCTGCAACAAATTGATAAGTTGATGCCCTCACAACACTCAGAGACCCAGTCCCCCCTTCCATTCTCATCCAAAGCCATACATTGTAAGATCGTCTCTCTAGAAGTGCAACAGGAGCAGGGCTTAGAAGGGAGAAGGTACATGAGGAAATTCTACATAGCTACCACCAGCTTCACTTACTGAACTGGTTTTTGGTGGGAAGGGGAACCCAACACCATTCCGGGCAAGAATGTATGCAATCCATGTTGTAATTATCATCTTTGGACTTCTGCCAGGCCTTCTTCTTGGCTCCCTCCTTCCATTGAAGCGGCCTAAGAATTCCTCTGGTACAAGGAAGTTATTGAAGGGAGGTGCCCACACGCTTGGCCGCTCAATGATGATGTCACAATGACCTGTTTTATTCTCCTGGATGAGAGTGGAGATGAAATAGAGAGATCGGGAAGCAATCTGCTTTAATGTTCCAAAAGCTCAGAAAGGGGGATAAAAGGGGAGGGGAGGTAAGGATAAGACATAGCCAAGATAAGCCTGAGGAAGACACAAGAGGGAAATCAGCAAATCATAGATGGAGATTGGGAGGTAGGGGCTTAGAGCTGGTCACCCAGTCTTGACAATGCTAAAGCAGAAAGAGATTTTATGAATCCAAAAAATGAATTTGTAACAAAGTGACCTGGGCCCTCTAGATATACATTCAAACAATGCCACCAATATTTTTTATTCCTATTCTTATATATTTGTGTGGGGAGAGCTTATCTACCCCCCAAAAATCAAAGATGGGGGAGAAAAATTCTCAAAAAGACATTTTCTTTAGTTATGTCTATTTTGTTTACACAAGTGATTCAAACCATTAATCCAAACAATAAGAGATATAGGATAAAAACAATATATCACTTCTTGTAAAAGATATTTTCTGATTATTTCAAATCACCCGTGGAGGGCTGCCTGGGTGGATGGACACTAAGGTGGAAGTGAAAAGGGTATTGTGCTGTGACTTCAGACTGTTTTTTAGAGGAAAACTGATAGAGGCTGATAGCTGTTATTTGTACCTAGAACCTTCACCAGGAAATCAAAGGAAGTTTAAAACATCCTACAGGACACCAAGTATATGTTCAGCTGCTCTCAGAAGTAGTTGTAGCCTAACCCCGAGACTGTTGTCAAGGTCTCAGAAACCCAGGCTACAGTCCTGTCTCTGCCATTAATTTGTTCTGTGACTTTAGCCCAGTGATAGGCTTAAGACTAATGATTAGTTGCTGTGGTCCTCCTTTCTTTGTCTTCAGAATGAAAAGAGTAGAATAATGGAGCTCGTTCTTTTCTAGCTCTGATATACTATAGATGTTCTCATTTTCATTCTTCAGAGAATATTGAAAACCTTTATCTCACTCTCCCCAATTTCCACCATATTCTTCACTCCCAACAAATCACCTCAATTTTACATCAATATCGGTCAGAATTGTGCTAGGCTATGGTGAGGCAACAAGCGAGTCCCCAAATCAAAAAGTTTTATTTCCCATCCTCAAAAACTCCAATACATGTTGAATAATTCTTGAGGGTAGTTGTGCTCCATGTGGTGACTTAGAGATCCAGGAAGAGCTTTATTCTGCGGCTCCACTGTCTCGGGATGTGATTGTCCGTAATTCTCCAAAAGGGGAAGAGGAGACGTGGAGGAGTCAAGTCAGTCAGTTCTTCAAAGTCTTCTTCTTAAAGCTTTTTGGCCAACTAATAACCATATGACTTCTACCCAACTGCAAGGGAGACTAGTAATTGTAAAGTAAAACATGAAATTACTTGTCAAAGTTTGTTTCTACCACCATCTTCTAATTAGGTTTTCATCCTTATCGATATAATTTTATTTTTTTAATATTTAAGACATTGATGAGATTCAAAAATTAAAACTACATAAAATATGTACTTGGGGAGTTCCATCTCCTCCCCTAGCTCTTCAACCCTGCTCTTACTTAAAAGTAAAGTTTTTATAAGTTTCTAGCCTATACACCCTGTGTTTATGTTTTCAAAATGAAACAGAGATATAAATCTATTCTCACTTTTCTATTACTGCACCTATGCGTTTTATAAAATACATATAGTAAAATATGCAAATACATGCACAGCTCAAATTTAAGTGGGCATACACACACACAAACATAAACATACGTATGTATGTTTAACCATAGCCCAGACCAAGATGCCCAGCACTTCCAATATCACAGCCGGCCCCCAGTCAGACTCTCCACAAGGCAGCCAACGTTTCGACCTCAGTCACCATAGGTAAATGTTGCCTAGTGTTCCATTGTGTTGCCGTAACACGGCATAAATTTCAAATTATTTATGAAACTTACTACTGGGGGGCATTTGTGTTACCTCCAGTTAGATGCTTTTAAAAATAATGCTGCTATAAAACATTCTTATACCTATTTTTTGGTTGGCATAAGCACTGAAATTTCTGAGTATATACACACCAAACAGTGAAATTTCTAGATCATAGGCTTTATATATAATTAATATTAATATATAGAGAGTGTTTCAAGGTGGTTGTACTAACTACTGCCCAACTGCTATATCAACAATTTCTTCATATTCTTGTCAACACTTGGTTTTGTCATTCTTTTGAAGGTTAGCCAGGTGAGTGGAGTTATAGTGGTAACTAAGAACAGTTTAATTTGTGGCCCTGGCTGGTGTAGCTCAGTAGATTGAGCACAAACCTGAAAACCAAACGATCGAGGTTCAGTTCTCAGTCAGGGTACATGCCTAGGTTGCAGGCCAGTTCCCAGCAGGGGATGCACAAGAGGCAACCATACATTGATATTTCTCTCCCTGTCTCCTTCCCTTCCCCTCTAAAAATAAATAAATAAAATATTTTTAAAAAAAGAATAGTTTAATTTGTGTTTAATTAATTAATTAATGGCATTCAGTACCTGAGTTATATGATAACTCAACTTTTGAGGAAATATCAAAACATTTTCTAAATGACATCACCATTTTACATTCACACCGTCAATGTATAAGTTCCAATTTCTCCACATCCTTGCCAACATTGTTATTATGTAATTCTGATTTTAGACATTTTAGTGAGAGTGAAGTGGCATCTCATTGTGTTTTTGATTTGCATCTCCCTAATTATTAATGATGCTGAGCATCTTTTCATGTGCTTAGAGGCCATTTATGTGTATTCAAATTTTTTGACATTTTATAATTAGATGATTTGCCTTTTAATCTTTGAGTTGTTTTCAGGTCAGGTAGTATAAATCTTCTTATCAAAATTTTTCTGGCTAATCTAGGTCCTTTGAATTTCCGTGTAAATTTTAGAATTAGCTTGCCAATTTCTAAAAAAAAAAATTCTGCTGGAATTTTTAATAGGCATTGTTGTGAAGCTATAGATTAACTTTATTTAAGTTGTCTAATTTGTTGACAGAACTGTTTATAATATTCCCACCAAATCTTTTTAATATCTGTAGGGTCAGTGATGGTTTCCCCTCTTTCAATTCTGATTTTGGTAATTTTGTGTCTTCTCTCCTCTTTTTGTGCTCATCCTAGCTACATTATTTTTTAACTTTTCAGAAACCACCTTTGTTCCCATTGTTTTCTAATACAATCTTCATTTCTTTGTTTTTCTTTTAACTTGTTTTAGGGTTTCTTTTTTCCTAGTTTATTAAGATGGATACTTACATTATTAATTTGAAATCTTTCTTCTTTCCTAATATCATTATCTAAAGGTACCCTTTTTCCCCCCAAAAGATAGCTTTGGCAGTATTGTATAAGTTATATGCATTCAGTTTAACATATGTTCAAATTTCCTTTGGGATTGTATTTACCCTGGGTTATCTAGAAGTATGTGGCTGATTTTTCAAATATTGGAGAGTTCCCGAATTTCTCCTAATTGTTGATGTCTAGTTTAATTATTTATGGTCAAATAATATACTTTATTTTATTTCAATTTTTTAAAATTTATTGAGACTTGTTTTATGCTATAGCATATGATCTATCTTAGAAAAGATTCTAAGTGTACTTCTAAATATGCCTAATCTGCTGCCATTGGTCAGAGAGTTCTCTCACTATCAGGTTGGTCTTCTGTACTCTTGGTGACTTTCTGTCTAGTTTTTCTACCGATTACTGAGATCAGGTATTTAGAACTCTAACTGGTTGAATTGTTTATTTCTCCATATAATTCTGTCAGTTATTGCTCCATGTATTTAGGACTTTTATTTCAAGCATAGACATTTATAATTGTTATACTTTCTGGTGAATTAACTCTGTTGTCATTATATAATGTCCCTTTGTATGTCTACTAATATTTTTTAAAGTCTACACTGTCTGTTATTAATAGAGCCATTCCAGACCTGTTATGGTTACTGTTCTTATGGTATATACCTTCTACCCTTTTACTCTTTTAAACTCTTGTGTCTTTGAATCTAAACTCTGTCTCCTATAGACAGCATATGGTAAGATCTTTTTTTAATTCAGTCTAACAATCTCTGCCTTTGATTACAGAATTTAGTTCATTCACATATAATACTATTATTGATATGGTTGAATTACTGTCATGGAGCTTTCCCTCTCTGTTTTTTTTAACAGAGAGGGGAAAGTTTTAAGTTTTATAGTTTTAGCTCTTAATGCAGATTTTTAATCTATTTTTAAGTTAATTTTTATATGCAGTATTAGGTAAAGGTCAACATTATTTTTCCATGTGGGATCCAGTTTTTCCAACCCCATTTGTTGAAGAGACTATGTTTCCCCCATTGAATAGTCTTGGCAGTCTGATCAAAAATTATTTGACCATACATGTGAGGGATTATTTTGGGGTTCTCTATTCTATTCCATTGGCCTACAAGTCTATCTTTTTCTATTACCATACTGTATTACTTACTGTAGCTTTGTGATATATTTTGAAGCCAGGAAGTGTGAGACCTCCAACTCTATTCTTTTTCATCAAGATTACTTTAGCTGTTCAGAGTTAAGATTTCATATCAATTTCAGGGTAGGTTTATTTTTCTGCAAAAGATATCATTGGGATTTCAATAGAGATTGCATTAAATCTGTATATTGCTTTAGGTAGTATGGACACCTTAACAATATTATCTTTCAATCCATGAACATGAGATGTCTTTTTATTTATTTGTGTTTTCTTCAATTTATTTCACAATATTTTATAGATTTCAGAGTATAGTCTTTTTTCTCCTTAGATCAGTTTGTTCTTAAGTATTTTATTCTTTTTAGTGATATTGTAAATATTTATGATATTTATGGAATTGTTTTCTTAATTTCTT